CGTAACGCAATATAGTAATACGGTACTAATTTCATACCGAATACATTGGTAACCGTTCTTCTGATAATATTTCAACAATTTTCGATTGGTTTACCGTGGTATATGTTAATTGGGTTTTTTTCCCCACCCCTACTTAGTACATATCAATCAATTCAATATAGTCAAAGATTGGCTGTAGTTAAAAGTATGTGTCCGCAAAAGATAAACTAAAAACAATTTACAAAAAAGCAAGATTGGATTAATGAATGGATTTGGTTACTTTCAGTTCCCCTTTTGTTCTCCCAAAAATTTAAATTTGACAAACTGCTTTTAAATTTTCTTTTGATTATCTTTGCTTTAGGCTGATGTACTGGATAAGACACTTTTTGATTCATTTGAAAACTTGATATTAATTTTGCATTGCTCATTTAATTTGGTTGCCAGAATTATATTTCTATATGAAGAGCACCTGATTTTTTTTGGTTAATGTTTCGTCTTTCTTTTTACAGTTTTCCAATAATATTCATTTATATGTCACGAATAAAATGATCGGTAATCCGTGGTAAGTATTTAATACCGACAACATAGTTGATCAAGGGTTGGAGTGTTGGAAACCCAATCGCTATTATATTACGTAACAATCACCTAAGTACGATTTTTTTTTAGGACGAAATGCACTTCACTCCCTCCATAATTTCAGTTGTTGCACTTTCTCCTCACAAATTCAAAAGAGAGAATCTCCCCTTTCAGAATTTTGTTCATTGCCCCAAATTACAATTTTTGGCATATTTTTCACCCGAATTGCCATGAATCCGTCCAATGGAAGGGTGTTTGTGTCATTTGAGAGACATATCGTAGTAGTAGCTATGCTAACTGAAGATTCCCGCAACTTTGCGACCACATTAGGCACAATTCATTTTTTCAGAAAAAAATTATATTTTATTTTTTCTTAAATTAGTGAACCGGTTGTTTTGTCTATTAGAAAAGATAAAGATATTAGGATTTCGATAGGAATATTAAAATGACTCAAATGCCCTTGAAATGGATGGAAACGTATGCCGAAAATTGTAGATTTGGAAAAAAGTGCTACTGGAACAATAGTTTAAAGAAGGAATTTTTTTAAATTTGGGGAAATGCAAAAATGAAAAAAAAAATCTAGTGAGCGAAATGCATTTTGTCCAATTTTTTAAGGTTGCATTTAGTGGAAAACTTGGGATTATATATAAATTAGTGGGGAGAATTTTCAAATAACTTTATATTTAGTGGATTTTAAAACCACCAAAATAACTCAAAAACAACTTAAACTTGAGAACCAAAGATTTGAAATACAATTGCATATATAATAAATTCATCCAAACAATCTAAATGAAATAATATATTGAATCTTATATATAAAAGAAAGAAACGCTGGGCAACCCTAGGAAAACCCTAATGACATATTTGTAAATTTTTGTTTTTTTATTGTGCATATTATATCTCAATTTATTTTCTCGATTTTAATTTCCTCCTCTCCTAATTTTCAGCCCTAAAATCTCTAAAAAATTATAATTTCCACCTCTCCTAATTTTCCTAATTTTGGTATATATGAAATACGGTGGAGATAAACTAACAAAAATTCTAATTTCCACCTCTCCTAATTTTTAGCCTTAAAAATCTCTAATACACAACTAATTTTTTTTATTGTGCATATTATATCTCAATTTATTTTCTCGATTTTAATTTCCTACTCTCCTAATTTTCAGCCCTAAAATCTCTAAAAAAATTCTAATTTCCACCTCTCCTAATTTTCCTAATTTTGGTATATATAAAATACGGTGGAGATAAACTAACAAAAATTCTAATTTCCACCTCTCCTAATTTTTAGCCCTAAAAATCTCTAATACACAACTAATTTTTTTATTCTGCATATTATATCTCAATTTATTTTCTCGATTTTAATTTCCTCCTCTCCTAATTTTCAGCCCTAAAATCTCTAAAAAATTCTAATTTCCACCTCTCCTAATTTTCCTAATTTTTGTATATATAAAATACGGTGGAGATAAAATAACAAAAATTCTAATTTCCACCTCTCCTAATTTTTAGCCCTAAAATCTCTAATACACAACTAATTAAATCTTCTAAATATTAAATCTCGATTTTAATTTGCATCTCTCCTAATTTTCAACCCTAAAATCTCTAATTATTTATTTTCCATCTCAGTTTTTTTGTTCCGATTTTCCCGATTCCCAAAGATAAAATAAAAAAAAATCTAATTTCCACCTCTCCTAATTTTCCTAATTTTTGTATATATAAAATACGGTGGAGATAAAATAAAAAAATTCTAATTTCCACCTCTCCTAATTTTTAGCCATATTAAATCTCGATTTTAATTTGCATCTCTCCTAATTTTCAGCCCTAAAATCTCTAATTATTTATTTTCCATCTCAGTTTTTTTTGTTCCGATTTTCCCGATTCCCAAAGATTTCCAACACTTACAACTACTCCCTCCCACTTCAACACGTTTATGTTTTCTCTTCATATTTATATCCAACCTCTCAACTTCTCAACCCATTCATATTTAGCTATTTTGCAAAGTGAAACCAGAAGATACAGTCGGTAAGGATTCTCCCTGTCATCTTTTTATTTGCATCTGTATTTTTCTCATGTGTTTGTATTGCAGCCTTTCATCTTTTATGTCAATTCGTTTTCATACCCACATAGCTCTGTGAATCCTTCATTTTCCCCACTGCTAGACCCGACACCTGAGTTTCAACTCACTACCATTAAAAAAATTACACGATTTCTGCCAATGTGAGCAGGCTAATTGTTCAAAAATGCGGATAAAATTCAAACCCTAGAAATACATAATAGATCAGAAAGAGAGAGAGAGCGAAGAGAGATGTAGAAAAAAGGAGGAAAAAAATTGTGCAGAGCACATATGGCATGGGAGGATATATCAAATGTTTGTGTATATACTTACAACATCCAAACATGCAATTTGTTGGCCCGTGCATCGCACGGGTACAATTACTAGTTTATATATAAAAGGAACAAACGTTTCCCAACCCTATGATAATTTAATTTGTATTTTTGTAATTTAATAGCGTGAATAAACGCTTGGCAATCCTAATGTTATTTTTAAAAAATATGTGTGTATCGGTCTATTATAGAAGTTAGTATTTTAATATTGTGTAATATATTTCTTATTATAATTTTTCTTTTTCATATATTTAAATAATTTTGTAATTTACCCATGCAACACGCACGGGGTCGAACACTAGTTATAGACTTATAGACAATTTTCAAATCCTTGCTCCAAATCATCCAATTTCTATGTGTATACATAGTTGTTTAATTAAATATATGATACGGTTCAATTCCACCTCATGTAAAATAACACAGATGTAGCATCTAACTCCTCTTTAACACACACTAGTTACTACCATTGCCTAAAATGGGATCAATGCCTTAGTAACTTCCATTCATAAACATCAAAATACCAAATAAGCCCGCATGGGTGTAGCTCAACTGGTTCCGGAGGTGGTAAGTTGGTGCAAGGTCCTAGGATCGAATCCTGGCAGCCGCAGTGTGGGAATTTCAACTCCAATGAGATTGGTTCCTTGTGGGCACCAGGTCCGGGTCCGCTACCTTAACGGGTCGTTGAGTTACCATGATTTACATTCCTCCATCAATCCTTGTCGGGCCAAGGGATGGGGGCCTTGGGGGCGAGGGATTTCGCCTTTTTGGTGAAAAATACCAAATGAAAAAAAAAAATAAAAAAAAAATAAAAAAAAAAAAAAAGAAACTTTAACCTTAAAATGATATTAAAGAAAAGATAAATTGGATCTAGGGATTTATTAAAAAGGCCGATTAAGGCTGTATGTATTGTCAGAAAGTCCAGATCACCATAGTTGTAGTGACAAGTGACGTCATAGTTTCTTTGCTTTAGCTTTCCATTTTAAAAAGAGAGCTATTCAAATCACTTGCATATTTATATACATTGAGTTCACATGGTGTGTGTATGTGTGTAAGCTTTATCCTCTTTACTCTTTACTATGATCTACCTAGTTCTTTTAGCTCAATATATGTCTTACAAAGAGGTTATGTATTCATCGATAAAATTTCTAGCGTCGTGATTTAGAGGACAAATTTATGGGTGAAAGTTAGAACGGAATTTCTAATTTCTGTCGGTTTCGATCGATCCAAAAAAATTCTCATTTTTAAGACGACTTTTTTCATTCAGATTTTCGATATTTTCCATTTTTTTTTTACCGAAATTGGAATTATATACAAATATATTTGGAATTTCGGATTTTGGTCTGATTTAATTTACAAAATTAATTCCGAAAAATTACACCAATAATTATATATATTATATTTTATTTATTTTATTTAGTGTAGACTATATTTTATTTTTTACCTTATTGAGGCTGGCTATGTTGGAGTGTTTTGACTTTTCTTTATGAAAGTGGGTGTTCTTGTTTTTTAAAATTTATGAAAGTTCAAACCTTTACAAAAATGTTAATTTTTATGTAATGTTTGAAATTTATGAAATTCTGAAATTTCTATAAGTGTTGGAACTGGAATGAATTTCTAGATTCCAAAACTATTAAAATTGGAATTGGAATTAGTTTTGTACTTCTAAAAAAAATTGAAAATTTTCCAAAAATGTTAGTTACGATACGTTCCTTCCGACTTTCACCCCTAGACAAAATCAATACTTATTGTGATAACAAAAGTATATGCTTCAATTGAGAGACAGAGAGAAGAAAAAAAAGACATCTTTATATACGTAGTGAATGTGATATGTTTGATTCGTTGGACCATGAATTAAAATCCGAATATTCAAATCTTAGAAAAGATTAATTGGTATGCGTTCCTCATTCCTATTTATATCTAAATTTTTTTATTTTTTTTTAATAAGAGCTTTATATAATATCCTCTCTCTTTTGGATCATGCATGCATGTGCATGTGCCTCACCACACTTTTTAATGTCTACTAATTCCTCCCAAAAAATAAAAATAAATAAATAAATAAATAATGATTTTGTGAAAGAGAGCATTTGTTTTTGTATAATAAAGGTTTAGTCTTTGAGTTGATGCTTTCCACTAATGAGAGGCAAAATATATTCACATTTCATTCTTCATAGCAAAGTATGCACTTTTTTTCTCTCTTTATCATTGTCACATATTCTCTCCCCACCTTTTGCTTTTATCCTTCTTCTATCCTTTATATCTTCTTCCCTTTTTTGCATACATGTTTTTCAATACTTGCAAACCCCATTAATATTTATATAAAAAGATATATATACATAATACATCCATTTTAATTAACTCCCCAAGAATTAGTACTTCTCATCAAGATGAATACATCTTCTTCCATGTTGTTTTCATTCCTCCTCTCGATTCTCGTCTTATGCTCATCATCGTCGGGTAAGTTGTATCAAAGTTTTCGAGTTTTCATTTTTTTTTTAGTTTCTCGTATTTTCCTCGATGAAGGTGACTTCTGATCGAACGCGTTGGTCGTCATTTCGGAGAAATATATCATAAGAATGACTTGATTAGCATGTTTATGCAGTGGTGATGTTGGTAGATAATCCTTAGTTGTGGTCTTCTAGGTTTTTTTTAGGATATGTTAGACAAAACTTCAAATTTGCATTGTAGCTTGTCCGCGTTTCGGGAATATTTCGTATCGGACACTTTCTGAACCATTTATGTCTATCATCCAAAGCATATTAGAACAGTGTTTCAATAGCAAATTTTCAAATATTTTTGTCGTGTCCTGAATTATTTACATAATTTAATAATCAATTGCCGCCGATAGTAATATTTATTTGAATATATATCTAAAAATCGAAAAATTTACCATATTTTTTCAGGATCAAAGTTTCTACATCCAACAAAGGATCTTCTTCAACAACAACTCAAAACATCACAAGATCATCAAACACTCACTTCGTACCGCAGAGAATTAGTCCAACTCGAAACTACGATTAAGGACGATTTCCTTAATCCCCCCATCACAACCTACCCCACCAACCCCGCCGTAACCAATCCAGTCACAACCCCCGCCGTAACCAATCCAGTCACCACCCCCGCCACCACCATCACCGCCCCACCGGAAACTCCAAACCCCACATTTCCGGTCACCGGAACACCAACTCCGACAACAATATTCCCTCCCACGATCCCGGTCACAGATCCAGTACTCAATCCCCCAATGACCAATCCAGTCACCACTATCCCGGGCCAAGCCCAGCCTGGGATAACCAACCCCGTCACCACCGCTCCAGTGGTGGGGCCGCCCGCAACCACCACCAGCGGGCCGGCGGTTCCCGGACAGAGCTGGTGCGTGGCGAAGGGCGGGCTGCCGGAGAACACTCTCCAGGCGGCGCTCGACTACGCGTGCGGGCTCGGAGGTGCGGATTGCTCGGGAATTCAAGAGGGGGCAAGTTGCTACAATCCAAACACCATGCAGAACCATGCGTCGTATGCCTTTAACAGCTATTATCAGAAGAATCCGGTGCAAACTAGCTGCGACTTTGGTGGTACAGCCATGGTAACCAATGTGAATCCAGGTAATTATTTACATGTTTGGTTAGTCTAATAACTTTTTCGGTTCATGAAACTATTGCTTTTATCAGGATTTAGTACCCGAAAATAATGATTATATTGGCTAAACGGTCCCGCTGATGTACATAATTTATATGCAGGTTCCGGTTCATGCATTTTCACAACATCCTCATCGGCATCACCTACGATGCCATCTCCGTTCAACACAATTCCGACACCAACTCCAACGACAGAATCTTCATCTGGGGCATCGCCAATTGGGTAAAGACCGATTTTTTCATATATAATAATTACTGTCGTAACTGATTAGGCTTCGTTTGGGAACTGGGATAGGACTCAGTAGACAATATAATCAAGATTTGTCAAAAATTTAGAGTTTAGGTCATATATATAAAAATAATTGAAAAAAAAAAATGCCACGAACTTAATATTAATCGAATCGTATTACACTATCATGAATATTACCCAATACAAGGATTGAATAATCACAAATCGCAAACATAAGATAATCACGTATTACATTATCATAAACAATATGTAATCATAACCAATTATTCAATCGATCTTATCTTCATCAACATTTTGAAACGAAACGAGGCCTTAATGGAATTCATAGATTCCGTATCAATTTCAACCCTCAGTTGTTGCATTATTAATCATCACTATTTACTTAGCAAATGGCGATCTAATCGTGTTCGATTATGCTTTTGCAGTTTCGGTACTCCCCCAGCTGCCTTTAACGGGGGCAGCCCGGCTCTGGGGGGCGGCATCACGGGCTTTGGTGAAAGCCCACTAGGTGGCAACTCTACAATTTCCACATCGAGCGGACTAAAGCCCTTTATCGGCTGCATCATTGTGGTGACGTCATTCATCACACGGAGAATTGTTTCGGATATCTAGAGCAATGTAGACGCAATTAATCGAAGCTCATTCCTCAACAAAGTACATAGAGTTTTGGGATGTACAGTTCTTTGCTTTGCAGGTAAACTATAGTTCAGGAATTTCTTATTGTTAGGAGATCTCATACACTTTAGCAAGACATCTATATATATATATATATATATATATATATATATATATATATATATATATAGGGCTATTCTAGTTATTACATTGTGGCTCCTATTATATATCCACAAGCTAAAACTAATTGGGATAATCTTGCAAAATATCTCCTTCTACCTAAACTTATTTCCTTCTCTTCTTAAAAATCAAAGAATTTTTTCCTTGATCGTTTTTACCTTGCTGTGGAATTTGACGAGCTCGAGCTCGAAAATTAGGAAAATGCTGCAAGAGTATATATCCACCACTACTTTTTAATAAAAAATGAGAAGAAAAAAGACGCTCGGAATATAGATAATCGCAAATCATTTAATAGAATACATGCTACATAATCTATCCTCAATTGCCCGACTCGAGCCTAAAAATACACATTTTGTTACTACCTAATAATTAATATACAAGACCAATAGATGATTGGATTGAATAACGTTACCGTTTCGAGAAAACTACCAAGATGAACATTGACATTGAAACAACAATCTTGAAACTCGGGCTCTCCCAGAAATTCGGGTTTTCGCTGATCGTCGGTACACCAGTTTTTTTGGCCGCCAATTGGTCTCTTAATTCCTTTAGAGCTTTTTCTCTCCGCTCTCCCATCTATAAAACAGAGATAATCAAGAAATGTAATTGATTAGTAATCATAACTTCTGATTTAGACTTTTAAGCTGATGATGGTGACATTTTTTGCATGTTTGGACAAAATATTCAATTTAGAATGTTATGATTCAATATGAGCCAAAGTGTATTTTATGTTTTAAAATCAGGGTAAATTACTGTCACCCCCGAGGTAAGGTCAAATTACTAAAAAACCCTCATGTTTGTATAATTACAGCCACCTCCCTCAACTATGTAATGTCTTCGTCCACCCTCATGGTGTCAAATTTACCTACTGAAAGAGGGTTTTTTCGTAAGAGAATACATAGATGAGGGGAATGGTTTTAATTACCCAAACACGAAGGGTTTTTTCGTAATATGACCTTACCTCAGGGGGTTGGCCGTAATTTGCCCGTATAATTTATTAATGATAATTTTTATCAATATCATATATATGAAAGATTTAAGAAATATTACTCTTTGGAGCTTGCGATTTTGACAACGTGCTTCTTGGAGACAGAACTCTAACTTGAGAACTTTCTTTCTTAAATCTTCATCTGCTCTACCCTGTTTCTCTAACTGTGACCAAACAATGAACAAATTAGTGTACTGAATTACAGAGCAATTAATCGAACAAACACAAACTGATTAAACGCAAACCTGGTATTCGAGCTCTTTTGTCTTAAGCTTCCAATGTGCAGACATAATTCTGATTTCGTCTCTCAGCTTGGCTATTTCTTCGTCTTTTACCATCAAAAGCTTATTAATTTTATCGAAATTTCTCGGTGAAACCTCATCGAGTATTTTCATAAGCTCGCTGTCTTTATTATTCGATCCAGCTTTTGCTAATGTTTGCATTATCTCGTGCTCAATTCGAGAGACTTCGTCTTTGAGCTGCGTTTGGGAATATTCTCTCGCTTGAAGATCGTTATGCAGAAGGTCTAATTGTTCGCCGAGTTTCTTTACGCGAATCTCGTGCTCTTTCAAAGAGTAATTTTTCTCTTCCAATTCTTTCACGAGTGACGAACATTGTAACTGTGCAGATTGTGCGGATAGTGCACTCGCCTCTGCAGTTGCTTTCGTTGCGTTGAGCTGCAATCTCAAATCATCCAATTCTTTGACATACTGACACAAAAATGACAGACGCACAGATTATTAGAAGAAATTCAATTAACGAGAAAATCATAAATCAGTTAAATCGGCTTCTTTACTCAAGAACGCAGAACTCAATCCAAGTACAAAGATAACTAACACCATACACCAATTTATTTTCCCACAACTCATTTTACTCTCCATCGATAATAGTACATACTAGGGGAACAATGAGTGATAAAACAAGAAACGTAATAGGAAAGAAGTTAATAAACGCGGCACATCAAAATCTATTGCTATAAACGTTGTCAAATGTGTCTGACTAACATATGTTCAATTCAACAACTATTGTAGATTGAGAATTTATAATCTACAACACATTTAAATCTAATACAGTTTCCCAAATAGAACAAACAAGAGAAGCCAAAAAAGCAACCATAAAGAGTAACAACATGTGTGTTTGACATGGAAACTACAGAATATACCGCATCGGGGTCCATGGCCCCCACCGATTTTATAAATCTTCTCTAATAAAATGAAAAAATGAAAAAAAAAGTTATTAGACACTATAAAGATTTTGAACGAAATTAGCAAAAAAGTACCATCTCAACGGCAGATGTTGAAGTCTGAAGCTGAAAGTTTCTCTCCTCTAAATTCTTCTGCAATCTTCTCATCTCTTCCTCCATCGTCTTCGCTTTGGTTTCTGCTTCCTTTACAAATCAATTTTAAAACAAATTTCAATATAATATATTATAGTGATCTAATGTTTTAATTAAATAAAAGGGGAAAAGGGCACAATTTTTCAAACTCATTCCCGTAGAACCTCGATAAATTAATAACCTCGTTTAAATAATAGTTTCTTCTGTTCCTGACTCGGCAAAAACCTATTAAAATATTAGTTCGATAATTTAATATTTCGCTAAATTAATAGACTTTAGTTCGCCCCGACTCTGTTAATTTACATAGATTTAACTGTATATGAGTTCAAACAATAAAAGCCATGAACTACATGCAATTAAATGAATCGGGCATATATATTTAATGTAATTTCACCGTACCTGTCTGGTTAGGGTTTCTTCGGCAAAGCACTGCTCCTGAGAGGCGAGGCGGCCGCGCACCTCCTTGAGCTCCGCCGCTATAGACACCACGTTCCGCCGGAAATTCTGTTTCTTCTCGTTCAGATCCTTCAGCAACGGATCCACTTCCCGCGCCGCCGCCGGCGGGACCACCCGTCTCTCCGCCGATGCCGGCATGATTATCCCCAAATTGACAGCGTCTTTATGACTTCAGCAGCAGAAGAAAAAAAAATCAGAAATTTAAATCACCACTCTCTCTCTCTCTCTCTCTCTCTCTCTCTCTCTCTCTCTCTCTCTCCCCAAATTGCAATTAATGAAAGCTAAACCCCACACAGAAACCTATCGCCGTCTATATGTGAACGATTTAGCTCCTACAGCCATTTAATTCAAATCTATAGTCAATTTTATTTTAAATCTATACAGCATTTATCTCAGCCACACATCAATTTGTAGCTCAAGATACAGCTCCGGCTATTTCAGTCAAACACTCACCTATACATACACATGCATATATATATATACATACATACAGAATATATACAGAGACATTTTTAAGAGAGAGAGAGAGAATCATACACACATTCGTAGATGTCGACAGATTTTCTGCAATCACAAAATCCAGTTACATCACTTTTACCAGAATGTATTCACAGTATATACTAGAGAGAGAAAGATGAGAGAGAGAGAGAGAGAGAGAGAGAGAGATAATTTATTAGTTATTAATTCAACAGTGTTTGAGTTCTTCGTTCAAATTATCAACGGCGTTCAGCAGTGGAGAGATGAAACCAAGGGCGGAGATTAGTGCGTGTGGCGCGTGTTTTAAGTGCGGGAATCGTGTGAATTAAAGACAAGATGGCGGAGCCTTAGGTTCGGAGGAACCCGAACCTCGGGGGAAATGACAAGATCCGAACCTAGTTCGAATTTACCCTCAACGCGGGAAATCTAAAAAAATTCGTATGCCCCACGTGGCAGTATCTAAAGACGTGGCTCAAAAAGATTTTAGGCCCACTATTAAAGGAGGAGCAGTGTGTTTAACAGGCCCATTAATGGCCCAAACATATCGATCTAATAAAAAACATCGGGGGTAGAAATTGGACGGATCGGATCGGGATAAATACTTTCGTGAAAAAAGATTGGGAAGTGAAAACTAATTCTTATTCCGTTAAAAAAAAGTCGGAAAAATCAGGAATTGGAATGAGAAAACTCGTACTGAAATCGGATATTTTTTTATCTAGTCACCTAAAATATAATTGCATAATAATATCAATATATAAGTATAATCTTCAGAAGAAAAGAAAATCTAAATTTTTGCAATTATTTTCGAAAAATAAACTCGGATCAAAAATCGAAATCACATATATACATATTATATTTTACGTTCCAAAAGATTCAGAAAAAAAATTGGAATCGAATTTGTGAAGTTCGGAATAAAACAAAAAATCTCCAAATTTGGAAAAGTTCGGATAGAAATCAGCGGTCGAATGCTATGTTCAAATTTCGATCTCTAATCGTTACATTAAATATACTCACAACAATGTAATATATGTGAATTTGTACAAAGTGAATAAGTTATGCGATAAGTTTTATATATAAGTTAACCGTCGGCACCGAAAGCACCCTAGAAGAAAGGAACGTTTTCCTCTCCCCAGCCATTTCGGGTTAAAAAGATGTGAAAGGGTGTTTATCTCTACAAGAACAACTAAAATCCATCCATGGCTAATCCCTCCCGGGTGATCGATTGTGTGGTTATTACACGGACGCTACAAATGACTGAACCAGAAAAAGCTCGTCCCTGTTGGTATATATATGCCTACTAAAATTTCAGTAGTGAAATGATTGTTATTTACATTTCATATGATTATTATTTACATTTAATTTTGGAGAGAAAATTAAAGAAAATAATAATATGTAAATTGTTTGGTAATTCAGCAAATGATGATGTCAGACGCTACTTGGAGCATTGAAGATATTGATGAGAAATTTTTTTCAGAGGTTAAAAGTTTCGTTGGTTCCCTATCCACCGTTAAGGATATTTATATACCAATTAACGACAATATGGAACATTAGTTTTGTGTGCTGACGGATCTTACCACATATACGGTGTATATTTGCGATTCTCTCTCCACAACGAAAACCGATACTCATTGGATGGACATTGTCACAAAATTGATAATCACGACATAACTCTGGGTACAGTTCCATTATTGTCGACAAGAGTATGACACAACTAATCATATCCTGAATAATGCAGGTAAAAAAAAATAGAGAAAGTGTTGTTGAAATGGAACTGTGTAGGACTAAAAACAAGATTCAATTCGGCACTCCAGAATTATGAAATAGCAAATTGGGTACACATATTTAACAAAATACGTAAATTGAAAAAATATCGGCTGTGTTTGGTAAGCTTTTGGGCTTCCATTTCCATTTTATTTTGGGGAAAGATGTTTTGGGAGAAGAATTTGAAAATTAAATAAAGTTTGTTTGTGTTTTGGGAGGAGACAATTTGTACTGTAGCAGCAAGTCAAATCATGTCTGAAAAGTGTTGGAAAAATGTATTTTAGAAGAAGAATTTAAAAGATAAAGTGATTTGATTTTGTATTTTAGTGAAGACAATTTTCACTGTAGCGGTCAAATCATGTTTGTTAGAGAGAGAAATATTTGAATTTGTTTTGGAAAAAGTTTTTGAAAATAGTGTAGAAAGATAATTTTCATTTTGGAGAAAGTGTGGAAAGAATTTGAAAAGCTTAACAAACATAACCGATCATTTTTCTTCAAACTTTTGATACAGTACAAACTGAATATCAAAACACCAAAATGTATAATTGTGGAAACCGAATATCAAAACACCAAAATGTATAATTGTGGATTGTACATGTGCATGCTAATGCTACTGGGCAAGGGATTCAACGCACCGTTGAGTAGTTTGAGCACAAATTTTATGCTTACATTACATTTGATTTTGTTGAACATATATGATTAGCAATTTATTTATCTGAATTTGAATTTGGATTTTTTTTTAGGAACAAAGAGTAAGCGTAAAAAGACGTTCGTTTTAACAATGTACGGTGGTCCACATAACATTATTAAATACTCAAGCGACGATTCAGATAACTGTTGGTATAATGAGTTGGCCTATTCATGTTTTTTTTCCTACAAAAGATATTGCATCATACTATCTTCTCAACTTTTTTCTTTTGTTAGGAAATATGTTATGGTATTATTTGAGTTTTAGTTTCAGGTTAATTTTGACATTTTTTTGTCGAAGTTTTTTTTTATCTAATACATATTGTGACATGTTCTAATTACTATTGCCTTTTTGTGTGTGTGTGTAACCATTTGTATAATTTTTGGGTATGTGTATTCTCAATGTGTTGAGATAAGTATAACTATAACTAAGCAAGTATATTTTACCGCTTATTTGATGCTACACCCAATGAATTGCATCGAATAAATTTTAACTGTTGATCTGCACATAATCATAAACTTATACACTCATACAATGTCTGACCTAGGGTCATTTGGTTGGTAGGGCAAGAGTATGGTAAAAAACCTATTTGAGTGACCATATTAAAGAATGTAATAGTTGTATAGTTAAAATATCGTAATTCGTTATATTACTTTTTTCGATATTTAATTCATTATATTATACAACTTCACAAATTGATTCATTGTGTTAATGGTGGAAATATAGCCAACTTTTTTGGTTTTGTTCATAATTATTAAAGTACAACTTTCAAAATACGCAAGTTCTGTAATTTTTGTGATGCAAAATTTGGTTTAAAATATGGTAAAGTGTTGTATTAATTTAAGCCTTTGTTTTGGCCTTCTCAATTTGTAGCGCTCAAGTGTCTGCTTTCCCGTGCTCGGGCGCCGGAACTGTTCACATATACCAATTTGGAGAAAGTTATGAAAGTAAGAGAGTTAAAATATGAAAGTTGTAGCCATTTGAATTGGTTCCCAATGCCACTTGAATCAAGTCAATTTGAACATCAGATCATACGATTGAGTTATGATCAAATCCGTATGAACAAATATCCTTGCGAATAAACTTCATAATATTTGTTGTCATATGTTATCTATTTAAATATCGACTAAAATTCTACAAAACTAGCCCCTAGTATAAAGATTTAAACAGGTAGAAAATAGTAAGTGTTATATTTGATATGTAAGAGGTTAGGTGTTACACCCTCCATAGTCGAAGGGGTAAAATATATTTCACCCTAGCTATGCAGCATGGACACGGGATCGCGGACACGGGGAAACAGGGAAACTAACACGGTCAAACTCCGTTTTCTAAAAAGTTGGATACGGGAACGTGGGGAAACGCGTAAATAATAAAAATATAGGGTGCATTCATAATTTCTAAAAAAATATTATAATGTTTAATATCATTCTACAAATATTATAAAAAATAATGTTTAATATCATTCTACAAATTACATTCGGGCATATAAATTTATTATAGTGTGGAATTAACAGTTACAAAAATATTAAAACACCACTAGAAGTGAAAATGAGACATAATATTTAAGATTTTTTTTAAAGCGTATGCAATTCGAAGTTTTTATTTAAAATGAAATTTAGATTATTATGTGGGGAAACGCATTTCCAATTTTTCATTGTTATCTGAGAAGTCTCTGAAACTTTTAATATTTATGGAAACGACACCAAAACGTTTCCGACAGGTATCATGGAGTTTCAGTTTCCGAAACGTTAAAACGCGTGTGGGTTGAAGTTTCCATGCATCATAGCACCCTAGATTATTTGATAAGTCAAGGCTCTAACAAAATATTTGATAAGTTAATGATTCTTGTTACAGTTGAAGGATAATCGAGAAGCAATTAGTAACCTAATATGCAAAAATTAGGGTTAGACATGGATCGGTTGAGTAATTATCGATCATTCATCGATTCGACTCAATCCGATCAATAGACTTTGCTTATCGGTCCAAATATTACGGGCCATATAATAATTGGCACCTACTTTATCGATCTATTGCAAAATGAGTTGGTTAGTTGGTATTATCGATCATCTAATTATTTAACTTTTTCACAAGAATATTAAAGATCTAATTGAGTAGGGGTGGAAATCGGATCGAATGGATCGGAAATGGTTTTTTCAGAAAATTTCCAAAGTTTTTCGAAAGTAAAAAAATGGGTTCCAATTTCTGTTCCAAGAAAATCGGAATGCAAAAATTCATTCCGTATTCGGAATGCTTCGGAATCGGTTGAATTTCGGAAATTTCAGAAATTACATTAGTTTATAATCTCTCATTCCAAATTCGGATATAATAAATATTTTCACAATATTTTTCTATCTTTTTTTGAAATTTTGCAGCCAAAGGCAAAAAAATTCAAAAGAGAATTCGACAAACCGCAATAAATAAAAATACGTGTAGGAACAACAAATTGAAACATAGGTTTTCTTATAAGAAAAAATGCAACATAAAATTCTGATACCAATTAATTTTTTATAAGGTTTTAATTTACTTCACCATTCGATATTAATATTTTTTTATATAAAATATACCAAAAGTTATATTATGAAATTACAAAACATATCATAGTAATATTCTATATATTTCTAAAAACCATATAAATATTCAGAACTAAAATTAGATCGGAAATCAAAATTGCCGGTAATTTTATATACTATTCCAATTCCATTACAAATAAATTCGGAAGAACCAGAACTTCATAAATCAGAATAAAAATTACGTTACCAAATTTAAATATTTTCGGATCGAAATTGATGGGAATCGGAAGTTCCACTCCAATTTCCATCCCTAAATTGCAGTTATCAAAGAAAGAAAATCAGAAAATCTTGTTAAAAAAAAAAGGGTAAATTACAACCACCCTGATGCATGGCAATTTACGAAAAAACCCTTATTGTTTGGATAATTACATCAACTCCTTCAACTATGATTTTTTCTTACACCTCCATCCTTATGGTGTCAAATTCAACATAGTCATCTAGAATTCATGGAATGTACTCTAGTTTGTACTCGTTTGTGTAAAAATACAGCTTTTGATGCACCACAATCTGATATATACAAGCCAAAAAACACATATTATGATCATCCTGCTTCAAAATGTGGAGTTCGAATGAGATAAAACGGGTACAAAAGTGATAATATTCCATATAATTTCGAAGATCCAACTAAATTTGAAACCGTAAAGATGGATGTGTAAAAAAAATTATAATTGAGGGATGGTTGTAATAAACAAAAAAGGAGAGGATTTTCGTAAATTGATACCTAAAAAAAAATCCCATTTTCCCGATCAGCGCACGGGACGAGAAGGCGTCATTCGTCAGAAATCAGAAAATCTTGTCAAAAAAAAAAAAAGCTGGATCTTCTACAAGGGTAAAATAGTCTTTTCATACGCCAACGAAAAGTCGTGCCCCCACTGCACACTCTCATTCCAAGAAGTCTATCTATCGAGTCCTGATGATAGTCTTCCTTCGTCCGCACACGGCACGCGCACCATTGAATTAAATAAGAAAATCGAAAAAAGAAAAAAAAAAAGAAAAGAAGAGAGAGAAAGAAGAGAGAGAAAATACACCACGACGACGACGACGACTACCACCAAGTATGCTAACGTGCGCCTCTACCTACATCCACCAGCCCTCGATCTAATCAGTCCAAATTCGCGAATCGATTTTGTTTTTTTTTCTGAACTGTCCGATTGATTTGGGGGTTGAATCTGGCCGGAGTGATGGGTGGAGACGGGCCGCAGATGTCGGCGGCGGAGGAGCAGTACGTGAAGGCGAAGACGTCGGTGTGGTGGGACATCGAGAACTGCCACGTGCCGAAGACGTGCGATCCGCACACCATAGCGCAGAACATAAGCTCCGCCCTGGTCAAGATGAACTACTGCGGCCCCGTCTCCATCTCCGCCTACGGCGACACCACCAGGATTTCTCCGGCCGTTCAGCAGGCGCTTAACAGCACCGGCGTCGCCCTCAATCACGTCCCCAACGGTAAAAATCTTTTACTGATTTTTTTATTTTTGCTTTGCTTCATTTTTTTTGGGGATCGTTTGTACTTGATGATTATTATTATAATAATTATTATTATTTTTTAAGATAATTCTATTTGACTTGCTAATTAGTGAAGTTTGTAACTTGGTGATTATTTTTGTTAATTTTTTTTTTTTTATGAATTGATTTTCTTCTGCGCAGATCGGAGATGTGGAGTTTAGTTAACTACTTAAGTGCATTGATATTATTTATGCTGTCTTTAGGGTTTTTCGGGTATTGTAGATTCTACACCTCGTGAAATACACTATGTAGTTTTACACCATTGATCTACACATAGTAACACATACCCATGTGTATGTGTGTTTCATGGTTAGTTATTTATGTAGATCCACGGCTCAAAACCGTAGGATCTCCTAAGTTGGGATTTCGCCTCTTTTTTGATGAGTTCTATTTTTTCCTTTTGCCTTTGAGTTTTCAATGTTTACAATAGTTTTTTTTGTGTGCATCGCACACTTTTTTTTTGTTTTTTTTGGGTCGAAATATTATCCTCCAATTCTGCACCAATATAAAGAATAAAATTTTGAAATGAATTATAATAATTGCAATATTTTTTTGTGTTTTATAATATAATCAATAAATGTTACACTATTTTAGTCAAATTAGAATGAAAATCATTGCATAGTGTAAAAACTAAAAAAAAAAAGAAAAAGTCAGAATAATACATTCATTTTGTCTACAATTTATTTATTTTTTTGGTTTGGGGTGGGTAGTGGGGTTGGGCGGCGAGATGTGAGCCAGTAATGATCCTTGTTCGTCTTAATTTTCGTTTTCATTTATATTTGAGCAATCCAGTGAAGATAAGCACCGAAATATGAGAGATTGTCTGTTAGTTTTGGGGGTTGGGGGGAATCCTTGGCCAGAAAGTTAGGCATCGAGGCTATTGTTTGGTCTGTTTATCATGTTCATGTTACTACTACTTCCCTTAATTGGCTAATTATGCTGAATTTAAACATTGGATTGAAAATACATTCAGGTGTGAAAGATGCAAGTGACAAGAAGATTCTGGTTGATATGTTATTTTGGGCGGTCGACAATCCCGCGCCCGGCAATTATCTATTAATTTCCGGAGATCGAGACTTCTCAAATGCCCTTCATCAGTTGCGTATGCGTAGGTACAACATTCTTCTAGCTCAACCACTCAAAGCTTCCGCCCCACTTATTGCTGCTGCAAAGAGTGTATGGCTCTGGACTAGTCTCTCAGCGGGTGGGCCCCCCCTTACATCCGCCGAATCTGCCCAATTCGTAAGTAACAGCAACAACAGCATGTATCTATCTGCCCCCGACTCGTCACGTACAGATTCAGTTATGGTAAACCACCCCCCCGATTTGGGAAATCAAAGATTCTTGAATATGGGAAGAGGGACTGATGTAAAATCTAAAGGGAAACAGATTCGAAGAAACGGCACTCAACCTAGTAGCATGCCGAGAAACCCGAACAACATAATTGGTTCTGACGAAGATCATAACATTTCCAATGGCCAAAAATACGGGTACCCTAAGCAGTTCAATGATCCCCAACAATTATCTGGTACTAATTATAATCCAAAAGTTGCTACTACTCACCAAAATCACTACCCTCATTTGTTAAGGCCGACAGTTAGTCCACCTGTCGAACCCGCCCTGCCGCATGCTAGCTCGTCTTTTACCAATCAGCATTGGCGCCCGCCAAATGGATCAATGCCTTACAGACCCGACCCGCCCAATTTGACGTCCGGCCCGCCCAATTACGTACCCGATATCGGCAATTTAAACATTTCCCAGCATCAAAGGAATGATCAACAACGATACGGAGGAGGAGAGAGAAGACAAACTTCTTCAACAGAAACTCCAAACCGTGTAAACTTAAACGGACCCCAAAAAGGATACAACCCACAAAAGAAACCTTCGACTGCAATTAATGGTGTGTGGGGAACACCGGGTTGCCCTAAACCTTCCGAGCACGAACAGGGTCTTATTGGAATCGTTATACTCGCTTTAAACACACTTAAAAACGAGAAGATTATGCCGACCGAAGAAAATATATCTGGTTGCGTCAGATATGGAGACACCCGACATCAAAATACTGATATTAAGAAAGCTTTGGCATGTGCCGTTGAGCAGCAGTTTGTCATACAGCAACAATTGGGTAACTTGCAGTTGTATGTTGGGAGAAACGAGAAACTATGGCAGTGCGTAAATCCTATGGGCGGGGATCCGAACAAGTGCCCAAAATCAACATGGGATGAAATTCAGAAATTTCTGTCGTCCCCTGTTGGACGATCTGCCATGCTGGATACCGAATGCAGGTATATTATTGATTGTCTTCGGTGTATTTTCGTTTCGGTTTTTGCTTTGTATAATTTTGTCGATCCTCATCTCGTGAGCTATTCTGGATATTGTTTTATTTGGGGAAAATTACTCTTTTAGTCCCTCAGGTTTACCTTGATTTCACATTTGGTCCCTCTTGTTTGCTAAAAAACAAATTTAGTGGCTTACGTCTCAACAATTTATCACTTTCGGTCCTTTCCGTTCCATTAGTTCTAACGGAAAATTGACCGAAAGGATTAGAAGTGTTAAGCTGTTGAAACATGAGGGACTAAAATTTTTTTTGTGAACAAGGGGGACCAAATGTGAAATCGAGGTAAACCCTAGGGACGAAAAGTGTAATTTTCCCTTTTGTTTGTTTCCGACACGTTTAAAAATATCACGTTCCTAATGTGGTCTTCTTAGGTACGAGGCAGCGACAATTATGAGAAAGATGTGCTTGAAAGATCTTTCATTGGGTGAAATACTCCAGATCTTGCAAATGGTAACTATGAAAAGATGGATTACGTATAATTATCAGTCAGGATGGAAACCGATTAAGATTACACTTGCAGAAGTCAACCCCGATTCAGAGGGGTTGGCAGCTGCTACATAAATCTCGACAAGAAAAATTTACGTGGAAGGGTTAAGAGGGTAGCGTGGAGTTTCCGCTACATTACGTGAAATTGGTTTTGAAATTAATAAGAACTGGTTATATATATATATCGCCCTCTTCCCTTTCAGAGTAAGTGGCTGCAAAAGTAAGCAGCCTTTGGACGGTACAAAAGTAGGTAATTTTTGGTTTCTTGTAGAACTTCTCGTTTAAGACGACTTTCGGAAGGTACTTCACTGTGGTTAGACAAACCATCGAGACTTTAGAGATCTTTTATGATGCATGCTATGGGCGTTAGATACAGAGGGTGTATCTATTTTAGGTTCAAATGTTTGGAAGAAAAAAAAATTGGGGTGACCATACTTGCTTTTTTCTTGAATTGACGTCCGGATTTCTGGTCAAGATTTTGTATAGTTGCGTAGGAATCTTCAAGATCACTGTTGTCGAAGAAAAACCCGAGGGTGGAATAATTGTTTTTTTTTCGACAAGAAGATTCCAGTGCATTTTCGGAATGTGTTCGAGGTTTGTGAATAAGATGTGCTCTTGTAAATTCATAACAAGATCAAGACATGGTTTAAGAAAGAAAATGGCGGGACCGTGGTAACTTCAGACATCATCGGTGTAACTAAAGCTGTTCGAGAGAGCTTAGTATTTGCGGTAGACTGTTACAGAACAATCGAGAGTTTATTTAAGCATATCTTGATATTAGTCGGCTTTGAGATAGGGGTGTTTCTGCAATATCAAGGAAAATTGAGAACAAAAGACTGCTACCTCTTTTTGCTTATCCGGGACAAAGGTACGATGTACATTGAAATCCAATGTATGTGACGAAACATCTTAGCGATTCGCAACGGTTCTTTTACGTGATGACCTGGCTAATTATCCCTTCTTTAATCCAAAATACTTCTTCAAAGAACTCGAGAGGAAGACGTATATAGTGGGACTTATCAGACGTGTTGATCTTATGGTATTTCACACCTTTCTTCCCAGGTTGAGATATCGTGTATTTTGCGGAAGACAAATCTGAGTTGCCGGAAATTGGATCGTGGAAGTGAATTATATACTGCTTTTTTTTTTTTTTTTTTTTTTTTTTTTTTTTTTATGAAGACTTATTAATGTACTCGGCTTAAGTATGTCGTACTTTGTTCCGTAAAACTTCCGAAACTTGAATGTATGTAGATAAGGGTTTGTGACTTTATACTGCTGATCCTGAGCAGTACTCTATATTGTTAATTTCCTATGTTGCAATCTAGTTTTTATTATAGTACAACTTGGGTTGTTATTTCTATTTTTTATTTTACCTAAAATCATTTCAATACATGGAAGTTGGTTTGCTTAATTTATGCTGCGAATAATAGAGAATGTGAGTTTCTAACATAAGTGACAAAATGTTTTCGGGAGTTGAAAATAAGCATAGATCCGGAGATTTTCGAATAGGCCAACCTTTCGAACTGTTGCTAAATCCATGGGCTGACAAGAGACAACCTGGCGAGTTGAATCATCTTAGTAGCAGACAACCTGGCGAGCTGAATCATAGTCGTGCTGTAAGCGCGAAACAGTTTGAATGCTACACCCTAGATGGCGAACGTCCAGTAGCCGAAAGCGTCACTAGCTTACGCTCTGACCTTACTAGCATGGAACATGTGGAATTTCGTGTGAATCAACAAGGACCACCTTGCAAGGCTAAATAATCCTGGGTAACCGATAGCGAAGTAGTACCGTGAGGGAATGGCGAAAAGTGAATAATAGAGCATGTGAGTTTCCTAAAGCAACTGCTCGAGGGTTTTCAACTTTCCACTAGTATATCAACTTACCAGGAAATTAAATACTACACCTGGTTATATAAATTGCGTGGATTTGAACAATAGATTTTAAAACATATAAACACACCCATGTGTATGTGTGCTTAGTGGGTAGTTATTTAATCAAATTTACGGTTTAAATTCACACAATGTGAATAACTAGTTGTACCATATACCTCCCTTTCACCTTATATATCCCATAATACTAGTGCTGATATAATTTCTATGTAACCTCCATCTATAATTCCTTGTAACTTCGGATGGTTTACACCTATGTAAATGAAATATCTCCCTCGCCAAAGACACCAACAATATCA